CCATTGCTGTGACAGTCACCTGCTGAGGAGCACTGGACATAATTTCTGCTGTTCCTTTTCTTCCAGGCTCTTCTGGGCAAGGTGGAGAGCCCCCTTTGTCCTTCCTGCTTCGGTTGGTGTGATGAAAATAATCTGTATGCTGTTGGGCCAAAAAGAATGTGTATGGATAGCAAACTTGACCCCATTACTTGCTACTTTTGAAAAATATTATTACTTTCTAGTAGTCTTGGACATTTTTGCACAATATTGCACTGGAAAGATGAAAACAATAGCGTACAGTTTGGAAGATGGAGCAGTAACTGTGAAGTGAAGGTGAGGACTGAGTCCCCTCAGGGTGTAATACAGCAGAATTTGGATGCACACAGCAGCTGGGAGGTTCTCGGGCTTACAGCATGAATGCAGTTTTGGGGGTTTTCTAGGAGTCTCATCTTTATCCCCAAATTTTCGTTTTGGCTCTGGCCAATGTGGCTTCAGACTGACCTATGCAAAACTGTGATTATATAGGAAATGAATAATAGACATTCTGGCCCCTTTTTTATTTCTCCTCTGAAATATGACATCAATTAATAAAACGGAACCTGTGTTGAAAAATGAAACAATCTATCTCATTAGAGTATCATCATTATGGCTAGGCTTTGCGAACGAAGATTTGGGAAGGGCTCTACCCACGTTTCTTGCAAGCACGTTGGTGGCTAAAAAGGCCAATACGAGAGAGGCATGTCTGGTTGCAAAAGGCACAGTAGAAAGACTTTGTGCAAGTTTCGAGCTGGCTTCCTGCCAAGTCTCCAAAACTTGACAACAGGGTCTACTTCCCAGAGAGGGAAGAAAAGAAAAAAAAAACAAAAAAACCAAGCAGCCAAAGTTCTAGCAAAAATATATATTTTACATTAAAAAAAAAATAGATATATACAGTGAGAGTATTTTTATATATATATATATATATACACATATATATATATACATATATATATATATATAACCCCAGAAACCCTAAATAGCTTCCCAAAGGGAAGAGGGGAAGGGAGAAGGGAAACAGGATAAAATAGGATGAAAAGGGACAAAAACAAAACAGGTCTACACGATCTAAAAACCCGGTAACCAGCAAACTGAAGAATTGGCAAGAGCTCACCACTTCCCTTGAGAGAAGCAGGACGTCTGGACGTGGCCCAGCGCTCTCCCCTCACAGGTGGCCGATAACAGCAGTCACTGTAGGCCTCAGCTCCAGATAAGCCAGACCAAGACAGGGACCACCGTTCTCCGACCTCGCCGGAAAGGAAGAGAGCGAACTCTCTTATCTATGCCTTATTTATACCCCAGGTTACGTAAAGGAATAGCATGGAATACTTCCTTGGTCACTTTCCTAGTTCCTTCCTGGTTACAAGCTGGTTTCCAGGAAGGCCTAAACTGAAACCATCACAGACTTCTTATGTGGTATATTCTGCAAGGCACGATTCTTTCTACGTTGTCTTTTCTCCTCAAGGGTGATCCTGCGTGCTTTCTCAAAAGCATCAGCAGCATTATAGATGGTGTCTCCAGACCTCCCGATTGGAGGCCAGAGTAGACCAGTTATGATGATCAATATGGCCAAGGCTGAGATGTTGTTTCAGGGAGTCCTTGTATCTTCTCTTTGGGGATCCTCCCTTGCAGCAGCTGGTAGCAAGTTCGCCATAAAGTAGGATCTTAGGGAGGCAGTGGTCCTTCATCCTTGAGATGTGTCCTGCCCAACACAGCTGTGTTCTCAGCAATATGGCCTCAATACTTGTGACTGTTACTTGTTCTAGAACAGATGTGTTAGTCACATAATCTGACCAGTGGATGTTTAGGATTGTACAGAGACAGTGTTGATGGAAGCGTTCTAGGAGACGCAGGTGGTGGCGGTAGATGACCCATGATTCAGAACCATATAAAAGAGTAGACAGCACAATGACTCTGTAAACACCGATCTTTGTGCTTTTCTTCAGGTGTTTATTTCAACAAATTCTTTTATGGAGTTTTCCGAAAGCACTATATGCCATTGCTAACCTGTTGTCTATCTCTCCATCAATCTTACCATTTGAGGAGATGAGGCAACCTAGGTAATTAAACTGCTGGACTGATTTGAGTTCTGATTGGCCAATGGTGATGTGGGGATGATGGAAGACTTCTTGAGGTGCAGGTTGATAGAGAACTTCTGTCTTCTTTAAGCTGACTTCCAGCCCGGCCAAGACCCCCCAACCTCCCAGAAGAACCCACTATCCACCCTGACCTTATCCTCCCCCCACCGTGTTACCACAGATCTTCCCACGCACTGCTCACCTGTGACACACCATATGGGACTGCCCCACCTGCCCTCCCACCAGTCTGAGGACCCCCACGTCCTGCCCGACATCCCTCCACTCCCCCAGACCGGACGGTCAAACCTCTGTGTGCTCTGAGGCACCCTCTCTCCTCTCCCATGAGGGCACAGTCCCCGCCAGCGAAGCTCCTCCTCTCCTTTCTCTCCACCGGGGGCTGCCCCGCAGGCTGATTAGAGTATGAACAGCTACATTTAGCATAACATCATAGTATAGAAAATTATAAGCATCTCCTGACTGGTAGCATTAGGATTTTTTAGTAAACATTATACCACAGTATTAAGTGCATTTCTTTAAAGTAGCAGACTGTCGACATGCCTAAAAGTTCTATAAGGGACATGCTGAAAAAATTTAATCAACTTCATCTCACAATATGTAGGTATTGTAGTATCTATGTGTGTGTTAGTAGATCATACAAACTGATTTACAGCCAAGATAAAACACCTCAAATTTATGTCTCATCCAAAAACCTGTCAACAACACTTATTTCTACCTCATGGAGCCACCGAAACTCCCTTATTAAGGACAGCTTAAATATCAACAGCATTCTGTGGGTAAAAAGGAGCTACTTGTAGATTACACAAGTAAATCTACCCGCAAACAAATCTAATTTTATACCAGAGTCAAAGCATCTCTGGGGCAACCTCTGGGGTATTACAACACTCCCTTGCAGTGTGCGATATGCAATTGTAGTAGTTTGAACCAGGTTTTCCCCCTGAAGCTAAGAAAGTGGTAACCCCCAGGGGGTGGTGACCCTTGGGGTTTGACCCAATCAGTGCTCCTGCAAAATATAAACATATCTCTAGACCGGAAAAGAAGAAGTTGTATTTGTTGTTAGAAGAAGTAGTAGCCATGTTGTGAAAAGCCACGAGGAAGGGGCAGAGGCCCCTTCTGGGGGGCCTCGGCCCCCCACCCCCAGCTGGCGTCATAGAAACCTGGAAACAGCGTTAGACTGGACTGAGGTCTGTGACTTGAGAAGCTGAAGGAGTTTTCTCCACCATGAGTGGGCAGACGGAGCAGCAGCAGGGACAGCAGCATCCGAAGAGCAGTGGCAAAGAGCCAAGCAGATAAGAAGAAGCAGCAGAGCTGCTGAGCAGGGAAGACACAGAGATCTCTGATGGAGAGAGACAGAGAGAGAGTTTTGGGTAAGAACTGAACAACCAAAACCTCCCAAACTCCCTGGAGACTCCTCCGAGAGAGAGGAGGATGATCAGACTCACTTGAAAGAGTCTTGGAGTGCAGTATGCACTGCAGAGAGGAGCTTAAGAAGCTCAGACTGTCCTGAGAGCTGAGCCAGGATGGCCAAAGGAATGTGTGCGGGGGGGGTGACCTTGGGCCCCCCCGCTGCAGCTTCAGAGAAGCTGGCAGCCATCTTGGTGCAGAGCACAGAAGCTCTGTAAAGGGGCTTGACTCCCCCTGAAGATACCAGACCGTCACGAAGGCTTCTGCACTTCGTTAATATGACCGTGGTGGAGCAACCTTTGTCTGGGGTAACGCAGCCCACGGAAAGACCCTTCGTTTGTGTCGGAGGGCCGAGGGGCTTGGAGACCCCCTCGTGCGTGCATCGTCAAAGATCCAGCTGCAACTGCTTCATGAAAGTTACAGAGAGTCTACTGCTCCTAGAGAGACCTGCTGCTCAGAGACTGGAAGGGGTCTTTTCTTCTTCTTCCCTCCTGGACTTTTATTTGGAGGGATTTGGCCCATTGTAAATATTATTGTCATGGTAGAAATAGAGTTAAGATTGTATGTAATGTATTATACTATTTATTTGTTGTATAGTCCTGTAATATATTCCTTTCCCCCCATATTGAGTCTTGTGTTTTTGTCTGGAAAACCCATCTCACACAGGGTTGAGATGTGGGAGGGGGGCTAGGAATCAGGAATTGGATTTTGGGCTCTAAAACCATGACAGCAATGTTCCAAGCAAAGAGAAACCAGGAATACTTCAAATTTTTCACCTATTCCTGATATCTTAAATTTTTTACTTGATCTTAATATTCTTGACTACAGTTTGTGAGAAAGTTGAACCTTCTTATAATCAGCCTCTGCTCTCTGGCATGCTGAACATCAAAGTACTGTCTTTATCAGTGCCTGGTAATTACTGTGCCTTTGACTGCTATGTGTCAGACTAAGCCAATGACTATTGGAGTCAGCAGTCAAAAGATAATAAAGATCTCAATCATGATAACTGGATCTACATGTAAAAGGAAAATGTCTAACTATTTTGCCAAATGGAGATAAAAGAAAGATATTTTTGATCACTGCTGCCACCTAATTGCTCTAGAGAGACACTGATTTGACGAACTCTCCGTGGCTGTGCATCCTGACATCAGTATATGGAACCCCACAATGGAATAGTAATATATCACATTAACAGCATATTGTACATTTTCAAGGAATGTAACACTCCACATACATGTCAATTAATTAATTCCTCAAACTATGCTTTCGAGCATTATGCCCTGACAACTACTCTCCTGCTTTAGGGTTAAATAAACTAAACAAAAGCAAACAGCATCTCATATAAAGTCAGTGACCGAGCCAGGAATTTAAGCTTAAAATTTAGATTTTTAATCATATCTTACTAACCATTGTATACTAATGTCAGCTACTGGTCTTGATTACCAGTAGGTTTAGTTAGTTATTTACCTTTCCAGAAATACAGAGAGTTAAGAAACCACATTTAGGTGATTTTCAAATACCTCTTAGAGTATAAATCAGTTATACTTTCAGTTATATTTTTTTTTACTGCTGCATAATGTTAATTGTCTCAAAGACAACTGTCTATTCTTTCTTTTGGTCCAAAGGCTCAAGCTCTGGATTGCCAAAGTGTTTGTATTGGCATAAAATAACATATAGCTAGATGCCTACATGTGTCTGTGAAAGGCCATATGTTATTTCTATCATACTTAGAAAGTTGGAATAAGCATTCTTTTACTATAGTTCAATGTCTAACTGAATACATGACTGTTAAGAGATATTTAGAAACTTCCCCATTCACAGAAAGAGGATTTTTGGCAGGTCACAGAAATAGGTCATGGAAATCGAAAGCTGTGTTTTTGTGAGCAGCCAAAACAACTAATGCCTCTGCCACCAAGAAGGAAGAGTTTACAGGTTTTCCCTTTTACCTTCCTGCAACTTAACAAGTCCCATTCACACTATCTTGCCAGTTCCCTGAAACTAACATTTGAAAGGTGTTAGAAGTTTTAATGACATTCATTTCTCATTCCTTCCCTCCTTTTTTCCCTTTTTCAGTAGATTAGCTCTTAGAAGAGACTGGCGAGCACCAGGTTCATAAAATAAGAACAGGGGAGTAGAACAAAGAGAAAAGAGAGGAGAAAAGGGAGAAGTAAAATCTCCTGGTTTAGGTAGTGGCAAACCTTTCCACCAGCTTGCTGTCCAAGTGCTGATGCAGGGAATCATAGACTTCTACTTGCAGATGAAACAACTGGGAAGGTGGAAAGATGAGAGGAATATGCTTACAGAGTACTAGGGAGAATTCTAACTTGAAAAATCGATCATTTGCACGAGAAGATGCAGACAGATATTTATTTTAAACACTATGCAAAATATCTGTCATGCTGAGTTGGGGAAAGCCCATAGTCAACTAGTAAAAATTAATTAAGTTAACATACATGATATTACTTCCAGGTTAATATTTTAAAGGTATTTATCTTCTCAGCATTATTGACTAAGCGCAATAACACTCAAACAGTTTTCAGTCTCTGGTTGTTATTTAATAGGACTGTTGCAGTCAACAGAACACAGTCGTGGTGAGCACTTATCTTCAAAGAGTTTTACAGACATTAAAAGTTTAATTCTACCACTTGTAATTGTGTTCTGTGATCACCTCTTTATTCTGGGGGTCAGAATAGCAAAGTCAAAGCCTGGGTACAATGCCATTGCTCATATTGAACAGCCCTGTTCTTCGCCTTCTGACTTCCGTGCTACTACTAGGAATTGGGCACAAAGGACAGTAGAAGTCTTTTGCTGTATTTCCTTATCCCGTTCCATTGTTTTGATGTTGAAGGTGATTTAAAGGCATTTTCTCTCAAAAAAAAACCCCACCAGAATTCAAAATGGTTTGGATCTTTCTGGACTACAACTAACACATAAGGGTAGGAGTTTTTAGCTGCTCACCTCCTTGTAAGGTGAAAGTACATAAATCCAGTATGAAGTGAAGATAAAAGAGGTACAATTAAAGGAATTAATTCAATACTCCCTACAATTCAGGACAGTGTGTATTAAAAAAACAGTATAACCCCTACAACCATTCTCACTAAAGCTTATGACAGATTGCTGGATTTAAACTTCAGTACTGTTTTAACAGTCAATTTATAATGCTCCAAGTATATGAAATTAGATATATTGCTCGTATCACCTTATGCTCAAAATCAGTAGATTTTATTCCCAGCAAAACCTATGGGTGTCCTGTTTGGAGCCAAGCTTGTATCATCTAGTTGGGGGATTTAGTCAAAAAACAAGAGTTTGCGGATAAAGTGAGATAAGTACATTGTTTTTATGCAGCATATATTACTTTTTAATAACTGCAGAATAGCATTCTTGGAGTTCAGATAGCTTATTTCTATTCATATTTGTTAAAGTGTGTATTTATTTATTTATTTAGAGAGTATTTATTTAGTATGCTGCTGCAAATAGGATAAAGTTTGGTTTCTTATCTATGATTGCATTTTTGTGTGCTGAGTTAGAAAGTCGTAGGGTAGTATCTGCTGCCTCATCGGTAATGATTTTATTTATAGTATTGAAATTAAGGTCATTATCAAGCGTGTTCAAAGTTTCATACAGGTGTATATAGTTGGCATAGAGAAAAGGATTTATTTGAGGGAAATGTGTAACTGAAAAAGCATAAAAGGAAGAGAATTCCTAGTCTAATGCTATATCATACTTTTTGAATTTTGGAATGAGAAAAGAGAGACAACAAATTCAGTTTTTCTCTGTTTATTTTCTGATTTTAGGGAGAAAAAAATTAAAGCTATCTGTTTGAAGATAGTGAGAAAAAAAGTGGTAAAAGTGAGAAAACTGTGGTAGTTTTACATATTTATCATTAAAAGTACCATGGAAAAATCTAAGAAGGTAGATTTGCACAACTGACCAAAAGATGTTATGAAAGCAGAATCATTAACTTTGAAAGGCAGAGGTACAGGAAAAATGTAATTTATTGTCTTGAGTGGTAGATGACACTATAATTATTTTTATTGGGTTTTTTAAGTAATGAAGAGGTTCTAGAAAGCTTCAAAGCTTACCACATGTGGTTATCTCAGCTTCTAATCAATATTTTTATTGAAAACACCTGAGGCTTTCCTACTGACTTGAGTATGAGCAGTATCACAATAATTACCACTTGTTGTGAGTAGAAAGAGGACTGAACACCTGAGTATGACTGAAAATGTATTAGGGAGAAACAGTAGACAGGTTCTCATCCTCATTTTTCTCAAACCCTCAGATATTTGGATTTCACAGAAATAAAAATCAGATCTCAGTACATCTAGTTTTTGATATTTTGTCATCCAGCTAGGGGAATAAATGTGTACCCTGGATAGGGCAAGGGCCATCAACGCAGTGTTTAAGTGGAACTGCTAATTCCCCCATTGGTTCCCTTACAGCAGTACCAAGCAGTGTCATATCACTTCACTCAGCAGCCTTAGGAGATTTGTGTACTCAGCAAAGCCAAGGCATATTATGCTGAATTGCTGAAGACGAACTTCTATGCAGTAAGTGTAAGTACCCTTTTGTTTTATAACTACAGAAAGAATGCACCTTTCTTTGTAGGAGCTGACATTTATTTTATTGATGCTCACTTGTAGCAGCTTTAGCACATGGTAGATATACACCCATCTCCTTATGCTTATGAATAGTTGTGCACAGAGTGGAAAAAGTTACCTGGAGCAGTTTTACAATACAGGTCTCTTATTGGCTTTGATGAGACAAATATTGAAGATATATTGGCACTACATTTTCCCCTGGAAACCCAAACCCCCCTCTTTTTATTAAAGCCTCAACATCTTCAGTACTCTAGAATCATGGCAAAAAGAATATATTTTCCCCATAATGTTAAAAATACGACTCTTGTGTTCTCTTGATGGTTCCCTGTACATTTCACTGGCTTTCACATCACTCTGAACATAATAGTGCTACATTTCTCCACACATTGTTCTCAGTGTGGATTTTCAGTGAGATGGGTGCAACTTAATCAGCTGAATAACATACAGCTGATGTTCTGATTGAGTACACCGCAGCTAGCATTTATTACTAGCTTGGCACATGTTCAGTATTCAAAGAATTAAATCCTCGCTTTCTCAGCATTTGCTAAAAGGAAAAAAGGTCATATACAGGTATCTGCTGAAGAGGTAGAACGTTCTGAAATACATCTTAACAACATATTTACACAAATGCACACAGAGAGTTAAATGCATTATAGTAGACAAAGAACCAGTAAAAACCAAAATTTATTATACCTTTTAATGCAGAAATCCTTAATTAAATGGACTTATTTGGCTTGACAGTTTTAGCTCAAGGTAGGTCTGTTGTTCAGATGGGTAAAACGGGAAAGTTTCCTTGAATATTTGAGAAAAATTTACTATGTCATTCAGTATGAAGCAGATACATTGTTTAGATGCATTATTAGAAAATGTAAAGTATTTATTTGTTCCCACAGAGATAGAAATAATCTTCTTCCTGATATAAAAGCTCTCTTAAACCTCTCCTGAGGAGATATCTCGCTCCCATGCATCCAATTTATTAAACATATATAGAATCATAGTACATCATAGGGAATATGAGAATAAAATAAATGAGATGGGTTGATAGGCTTCTAACAGGAACATGCAATAGAGAAGAAATCATGGAAGGAAAGATTAAAACATTAGAGAAATCACATAAATCCCTATTACAGAAATTTCTATGCCTAGCTTATATCACTGGTCACAGAGTCAAAAATACCAGGTTGCATGGGGAAGAATTATGACAGATCCTGACAAATGATTGTCTATTCTGGCCGATTTTTTAGAACACTTGCCAGGATTTAGAATAGCAAGTATGTCATATACTCTGTGCTAGAATATGATATAATTTTATTAAATCTGTTATACATAGTCTGGCATATGAATATAATGCTCTCCATGGATTTGGTTTATCATCCATCAGGAAACTAGCAGAAGGCATCCCAAGAAGCACAGTTATTTTGTAAGACCCCTCAGAAAAGATTTAATATGTTACCTAGCATTATTGATAATGACTCAAGGCTGGAGTCATTATCCTTGCCAGAAAGACACTATACAAATTAATTTCTCAAATCTTCCTTCTAATGGGCCAAGGGAGGTCTTTCACATCTCTTAGTGTCACATCTCTGAGTATCTTAGATTGAGTTAGATTTTGTTTGCCTATTTAGTGTTTGGATTGATTTTTTTTTATTATTATTTTGGCAGGGGAGTTGTATTGACATAAGCAATCACTGAAAGAGATCAAGAGTTTGATAGATGATAGAAAAATACTGATGATTTGTGGCTGAATTTCCTAGAAAGCATTCCAGGAGAAGAGTAGATGAAACCTGCACTTACAGAGTTTCATCACAGCATTTTATCTTAATAAATTGTGCCAGGGATAGTACCTCCCAATAAACTACAGTACCATGAGATTATGCTAATTAATAGGAAGTGGAT